GCTGGAACTCTCACGTACAGGGAGTGTCACCGCTGTGCCACGGAGGTCGTCAAAAAATTGCAAAAGCCATGAAGCTTTTTGAAATTTTTGTTATTTTAAGAGTACATATTTTCACCTTTATCTTTATTGTCAGAATCCTTTTTCAGTTGGTAAAAGTGTTGTTTTTTTTGATAAAATTTGTATTTCGTGTTCGAAAGATTTGTTGTATTAGTCATCTGCTAAATCTTTTGTGTTTCCTTTTTTACTTTTAATAGTAATTAAAATGAACATCGACCTTGGCAAAGAATATCCAAACACTTCAGAACCTATGTGTGTTGCCTTGTCAAGAAATAAAAATAATTGATAACTACTTAAGCTTCCAGTAAGGTACTTTGTATTAAAATGATAAATAATTGACAATACTCACTCAATATACCTTGTATTTTATTATAATTGGACAAACCAAGAATCTTGCAATTTTTACGCACTTTTTTATTTAAGTTAGTAATATCTTTATTTACTCAGAATTATCGAAAGGTACTCACATAAATAAAATGTTAATACAAATTTTAATACTCTGTCTTAATTTGTACAATTTTTATGGTAGACAAAGAAGTAAATTAAAAATAATAAAACTTTCAGACGACGCATCCTGTAAAGTATGCGAAACGTCAATATATAAAATAATCAGTGCATCTAAACCGATGAATCTTGTTTTATTTAAGTTAAATAAAACTAGTTTTTACGGGTTAATGCACAAAACTTTATTTATTTATTGACGTTTCGTAGCCTTTACAGGCTTCGTCGTCAGAATAAAACTTTTTTTTATTCTGACTACCTCTAACTCTAACAAAAAAAAAAGTTTTATTCTGACGACGAAGCCTGTAAAGGCTACGAAACGTCAATAAATAAATAAAGTTTTGTGCATTAACCCGTAAAAACTAGTTTTATATATGAGTGATGTGCGTGAAAACCTAAGAAACAAATATTATTTAAGTTAATTATAGTTTAAAAACACACGCAGATGAAGTAGTTGATAGTCTTTAAATATAGCTAATGTAGTATACAATGTTGCCATTTAAATTAATTTTATTGGAAGTGTTTAAACTTCTACAATATTAGGAATCATAAATGTGCAAAATGGTAGTTTTCTCAATAAAGAAATTAATTAAGCTCTGGTGATACAGGGTTAATTTGATAATAATAATAAAATTATTCAAGCATTAGGCTATTTACTTATTTATTCAACAAACTGTATTGACCAATAAAAAATAGCACAAAAGATGAATTTAATGCTAAAATCATTATATGCCAGTTAATATTTAGGAAAAGCGATTAACACGGGCAGCGGTATAAAACTAAGAATGTACATAATAAAATAAGACTATTTTATAAATACATATAAAGTATACTTATACTAGACTAGCGGCAGCGGCCCGCCCTCACTTCGCTTCGGTGTAGAGCTGAAGTGTAGACTACAGTTTTTGTTCTCAGGCTTGTATTATACATAATGACATTCATCTATGAATCTTCTTATACCTGTATGCAAAGTCTCAGCCCGATCGGTTTAATATTGAAAAAGTTTCATACAAACTTTCATTCCCTATTTTATCCCCTTGGGGGTAGAATTGATCAAAATCCTTTCTTAGCGGATGCCTACGTCATAACATCTACCTCTATGCCAAATTTCAGCCCGATCCGCCTAGTGGTTTGGGCTGTGCGTTGATAAATCACTATGTCAGTCACTCGGTCACCTTTGAGTTTTATATTTATAGATATAGAAATAGTCGCTGTAGAGCGAAAAGTCATATACCTAAAAAACATATAAAAAATCACAGGATACTGAAACTTGCATTTTAAATACTATACTCTGGAGAATGAGGATAGGAAATAATGGAAAAAAGTGCAGAGTAATCTTAAGTGCCTGCGCCGGCGAATAGTAAACCATTTTAATTGGGATCGTCATTATGGGAATAATGTTAAATTTTCAGAGGTAAAAGATGAAACGGATAGCGATATTGGTAAGGCTGAATTTCTTTGCTCTCGTTCTCTTAAATTCTAAATTTATCTCTGCTCCAACCATTGACAGTTTGTGAAACCGTTGATGGATCGCATTTTAACTGACGCTATACAGCACATTTTTTTCTATTGAATTGATTGCATATTTTCCTCCTTTCACATTTGTGAGCACTAAGTTAAATATTTTCGCGATTGCTGATTTTTTAGAACAGGCGTTACAGTGACTTTATTACCCAGTGTAGAACATCCGTCCTGATTTCCCGGGATTGTCCGTGTTCGAGACACTTGTAGCAGACGTTTTTACCCCGGAAAAGTGTTAAATTAATGAGGGATTCCCAAAAAAACTAAAGTTAATGCGGACGAAGTCGCAGGCGACCGCTTGCATAACACAAGAGATGCATTAGATTTATTCACTTAGTTTTATGAAGAGCAAAGGATTGTAAACATAGCTTGCCTGCCTTACTCATTTACATAGGAATTATGTAAAACTAGCAAACCAGTGAACCAAATGTTCACCAAAAAAAAAATGTATTTAATTAATTGAGAACTTCGGAGATTTTGTGTGGTTTCGTTTGAAATAGAAATCACGTGATTTCTCGAAAACCGGAAGTGCTACGTTACTCACATCCGGTTTGTAGTCTTATCAGACTATTCTTAACTTATAACTTAAACATTCTCTATATCTATCTCTTACGGTTTGGCCGCTGAAACAGCACCACGGACGGACGGACGGACTTGTCTATTAGATAAGAGATAACTAACCAGTAAGTTACTGAAAAATCCCAAGTTTAACTTAAAGTTTTTGACCTTGACCTCGTATTATAACGAATGTCTGGAAACGAATTGCATTTTAAGAAATTCTTACATCATCCTGAATACTAGATCCGATATTCAGTCGTTCGTTCCTGAATTGGGATAAGTTGAATCGCATTTAGGAAGATAGCCTTCGATTTAGGACAAGAATGATTTGCGACGTCCTAAATCTATATCGGATTCTAAATCGGAAGGATCTAAATACGTTTAGAACGCTCAGTCGCCGCTCGCCTACCGTCGCGAGTGCACGTTTTTCTTTGATCGACGCAAAAGAAAATACCTACTGAAAAGGAGTTTCTGAAGTCTGGTTCCTTTGGTTTTAAGACCCTAAATATTCAGGCTTTCTAGCTTTTGACGCAATAATGAATAATCTCTTAGCTATCTCGTTCTTTTTCTTCTTTTTGATTTCTATGAAGTCAACCATTAGTGCTACGATACTAAAAAAATTTTGTTTTTCGATTATATTGGGGCCATTTCTTCACATTTCTTTTCACACAACATATCCGTCACTATTTAGCGTCTGAATCAGGATTCAAAATCTTGAATCAGTGAACATGTGATCAGGAGCTTTAGAGATTAAATTTCATGTCCTAAACCGGATACTTAAAATCAATTCCGTTATTCAGGAAGGTCTAATACCTTATTTAAAATTGAAGATTAGGTATGAGTTTTTATATTGAAATTGGGACGAGGAATACAATTGATACATCAAGAGACTTCATTATTAAAATTGTCATTGTTAACCATTATTTGTTTTACTTACCCACGTTTAATATATAAATAATGACAAGAAAGAAATTCTTTTACCTTGTCAGCGAATTCCAATGAAGTCCAACGAATGACAATTTTATTGTCATGATCTTAATAGTTTCATAGTAAATTTACGTACACGTTTTTTTGGTTTTACGTTCCAAAGCAGTACAGTAGTTGTCATTATATCAACTCAACATCTACCATAGTTCAACGTCTGCCATAGTTTAAGGAAGTAACTACAAATATACTTACCGCAGCCATGTTTAGTCTTTCATTTCTTCTCGAAGTAAATCCACAACTACTACTTTTTCTTCCCTTGGTTTTTATTGGTCAATAATGTTAAATTCTTTACAGAACTAGACAGCTTGTGTCAGGATAGGCTCACACTTTCATAAATTTGCTTTGTTTAATTTTAGAATCGAGTTGCGCTTTTATTTACATTTGACCTTTGCAAAATCAAGGAACTTTTCATTACTATTCAAAGATGGTTTTTGCTCCTTATGTGCACTTAGATGATAAGAGTAAATGACCTCTGAGGTTGAATACAAATGTTTAATCCATACACCAAACAAAGTAAGCAAATCATCTACCAATATTGCAACACAGTCCTTGAATAGTTTCATAAATTTTAAATCTACTTCGCATACATTAACTTTGACATACATGACTAATGAATGATATGTAAGGTATTTCGCTATCTTTCTTTTAAGATTTTCGTCAGATTAAAGTGTTCCTAATTTATCATGTAAAACGATTAGCTCAGCAGGTTAAAAGATAATGTTTACTACATTCATCTAAATAAAATTATTTTTCTAAGAACAGCTGTAATCTGGTTTCATCATCACATAGGTAATTTTTTTCGGATTTTCTGGATTCGAACCATCTTTAACCGAATATAAGCTTAATGATATTTAACACTGACGGTTGATGGCCGCCTGAGAGGTTAATAAATGAATTGTCTGAAGTCAAAAAGAGAATTTGGCTTAAACATGATAAGCCTTTAAATTTTATTTCAACTTATGTTCCGATTTTATAAAGCGCTTAGTGATAAAAATGTCTCACCAAGATTACTAATTTTGGAAAATTACTAAAATACTTTCAAATAAACAATCGACGTATCCTGAATTTCGTCGAGTCGTATTCTTTAACTACTCTTAGATATTATTAACCAAAATTCAACATTAAGAATACAGCCACTAAGAAACTGCAATATTACATTTTGAACCATCATGATCTTGCCGGTACCAATGGCTTAACGTGCCTTCCAAACCACCGAGTTGGAAAAATTAAACTTTAGCTCATCCATACTATAACTGTTACGACGCCGACGGGCCCTGATCGCAGACCGAACGAACTAACCACAAGGGCCATCGAGCTTCTTGAAATACCCATGTTTACAAACATGAAAATAACTTTTACCATTTCTACCTTTCCAGAGGCTGTCACTGCACATAGCAGTCGTGTTGCTGGCGGTGTACCACACCTGCCATGCCGACCGTGCTGCTAGGGCGATCCCCAGTTTCTCAAACCAGAACTACGCTGTTTTCGGGGCACCGATCAGGGCTGATCTCAATGAAGATGGCTACTTCTACCCGAAGCCTAAGGTTCCTTTCCCGCCTCCAGAGCCGACGAACCAGAGGGAGACTTATTATCCACCGCCGCCTCCAAGGCCGTCACCGCCTAGGCCTCCACCACCCCCTGTTGTGGTCACGGAAGGCTACGCGTATAACACTCCACGTGTGCCATTCCCGCCGCCAACTAGGAGACCACCGCCACCGCCGCCGACGTTGAGCACAATATTGAGCCCTTACCGAACTACGGGATACAACTACGAACCACCAATAATTCCGTTTACGTTGCCTACTAATCGGCCGCCACCGCCTCCTCCTCCGCCGACGTTACCACCGAGGCCACCAACTAGGCCTCCTCCTCCTCCACCCCCTCCACCAACATTACCTCCACGACCACCCCCTCCACCAACTAGACCACCCCCACCTCCACCCCCACCACCAACCAGACCACCTCCTCCTCCACCACCGCCACCAACTAGGCCACCACCACCTCCTACACTAAGAACAACAGGATACAGCTATCCAACCCCGACAGTACCTTTTACATATCCGACGAGACCTCCTCCTCCACCACCAACGACGGCAAGAACTTTCCCGCCTCCTACTTACCTCCCGCCTTCAACTACTAGACGGACTCCACCACCCCCTCCTCCACCGCCACCACCAACCAGACCACCTCCTCCTCCTCCGCCACCACCAACCAGACCACCCCCTCCTCCCCCCCCGCCACCAACCAGACCACCCCCTCCTCCTCCGCCGCCACCAACCAGACCTCCCCCACCTCCTCCCCCACCCCCAACATTTAGAACAACAGGATACACATACCCGACTCCGACAATACCATTCACCTTTCCTACGACCACAAGACGCCCCCCACCACCAACGACGGCAAGAACTTTCCCGCCACCTACTTACCTCCCACCTCCAACTACTAGAAGGACCCCGCCTCCCCCACCACCTACCACAAGACGGCCCCCTCCACCAACAACAGCTAGGACTTACCCGCCACCTACTTATCTCCCACCACCCACTACCAGAAGGCCCCCACCTCCACCTCCACCGCCGACTAGGCCACCTCCTACTTACCTCCCACCTGTGACCACCAGAAGGCCTCCACCTCCCCCACCTCCGACCACCAGAAGACCCCCACCTCCAACAACGGCTAGAACTTTCCCACCACCTACTTACCTTCCACCACCCACTACCAGAAGACCCCCACCTCCTCCACCACCGCCGACTAGACCACCTCCGACATACCTCCCACCGCCAACCACTAGAAGGCCTCCGCCTCCCCCACCGCCACCACCAACCAGACCACCCCCTCCTCCACCCCCGCCTCCAACAAGACCACCCCCTCCACCACCTACTAGACCACCGCCTACATACCTCCCACCACCCACTACCAGAAGAACCCCACCTCCCCCTCCTCCACCCACTAGACCACCTCCGACATACCTCCCACCGCCAACCACTAGAAGGCCTCCGCCTCCCCCACCGCCACCACCAACCAGACCTCCCCCTCCCCCGCCCCCACCGCCGACCAGACCTCCCCCACCACCACCAACTTTCCGAACAACAGGCTACACTTACACCACTCCCAGAACACCTTTCACATACCGCACAACGCGCCCTCCGCCGACCTATCTTCCTCCCGTGACAACTAGGAGAACACCGCCCCCGCCCCCGCCATCGCCGCCGCCGACATATTTACCCCCTTCAACTACCAGAAGGCCTCCACCCCCACCACCGCCGACTACCAGAAGGCCCCCACCCCCGCCCCCACCCCCACCGCCACCGACAACAAGAAGGCCCCCACCTCCCCCTCCGCCACCGCCAACGAGACCACCATTCCGCACCACTGGCTACGACTACCCTAAACCCCCCTCCCCGTTCACTTACCCGACGACGAGAAGAACACCGCCTCCCACGGCGCCTACCTATCTCCCACCAGTGACCACGCCTAGACCTACTCCACCCCCAACCAGACCTACTCCACCACCAACCAGACCCACGTTCAGAACCACCTACTACTACCCTAAGCCCAGCACAGAGTTCTATTACACGACAAAGTCACCGGTGTATAGCACAACGCGCCCACCGTTCGTCGAAAACGAAGGCTACTTCTACGATCGACCCCGCGTTCCTTTCGTCTTCTAACGTAGAAATAAGTTTAAAGGGCCCCGTATACGGAACGATTCGACGTTGCGATCGATCTGAAGGAAATCGTCAACGATCGATCGTTCAGAAATGCCACTATTTACACGAAACGATTGATCGTAAACGATTCGTCGTTGCGATCGATCTGAAGGGAATCGTTAAGATCAATACAGACAATTGGTACAGATCAATCGTACCGTATATGGGACATTGACATTGCATGGGTTTTTGTTGCGATCTCCGATATCGTCTGCGATTAAGTAAATCGTTAACGATCTTGACATACACTGTCGATCCATCGTTTCGATCGGTCTGAAACGACGGATCGTACAGATCAATCGTTCCGTATATGGTCCCTTAAGGAAACAAGTTGCCATAATTGTGATACCAAACTGAACGCGCCGTTTGCGTTAAAAAGTCGCAAGTTCTTTTATTATTATTTCGTTTAAACACTGCAATGTATATTTTAATGTATATTTTGTTGGTAAAGAGTTACCATGGTTCTAGTGACGTATTCATAATAGTAAAGTGTATATATTATAATATGTATTTTTAAATAGTAACTACGTATATAGTATGAAATACTCAAAAATTTAAGCGAATCGACACTGCCTTCGAATAAATATGTTTAAGAATTGTTTTTAATAAACATTTTAAAAATAATATTCTATTCTTTTTCTTACCTATAAAATACCGTTCCCGCCCTCCTCAAAAAGGCATTCTTCAAGGTAAGAAATAAAAAAACATTGGACGAATAAAATGAGCTTTCTTGAACAATGTACAATTTCATGAAATATTTAATACTTGTAAAACTATTACGTTTGACATTGTGAGTTACCTACGTACAATGCGAAGAGATGGCGCTGACTTGCAGCCTGAGAAATGCTAGAAGAAATTCGACACGGCCATTTAGGTCAGGGTAGCATAATAGGGTATTTGACAAGTTTTAGAAAATGAGCTCACGTTATTGACTAATGTTTATGGAGTCCGTGGATATTCATCATTCTGTTATGTATTTCAGTAAAAATAACCAAATCATAAACTCCATTTTCAAGTTGCCGCGAAAACGTTTCTCTGGACAATATGGCGTCTTACTAGTGTGTGACATCACACGACTGTTATTATACGTCAAACGATACAATGTAATGTCACTTTAACCTGAAGTTTACTTGCGTGTGACGTAATTTTAGGCTCCGCCAATCCCAAGCGTTTTCTGTCACGTGACAATAGATAGAAAACTATTAACTTTTTCGTTACTTTTTAGTAAAATTATAAATTCTTTTTTTGTAAAAATTGTAAAAAACCCTTCCAATATTCATTCTAAACACAGATGCTAACAAATGGCACTTTATTTTTAACACTGTCAAATACCCTATTGGTTAGCCTGGATAGCGGAAGGGTTCGAATCCCGTCTGCTGCCTGGACCAGATTTTTTTCTAGTAAGTTACAAATCTAGCAGTTAAATGATTGATGAAAAGTATAAAAGTATTTTATTTTTATTTCATGACTTTTTACATCTTTTACTGCCTTCGTAGTTGGTTCATCACAACATTATGGCGGTAAGCTTATCATAATATTATATATTATTGACGACCTCCGTGGCCGAGTGGTTTGTACGCCGGGTTTCATGGCTGTCGCCGACTCGAGAGATCCCGGGTTCGAATCCCGGTGGGGGCAGAGGTTTGTGTGATGAATACGAGCATTTGTACTCCAGTCATGGATGTCTAATATGTATTTATATAAATATACTTATATATGTACAGTATATGTATTCTATCCGTTACCCTAGCATCCCATAACACAAGTCTTATAGTGCTTACTTTGGGGCTAGGCTAATTGGTGTGTGTGAAATATATATATATAAACATTATTGTGACGTCTCAAGCTGTTACGGTCATAGTAACGTTTTCTCTGCTAACCACTGTGCGTTTCCATATTCTCGCTTTCTTTCCAATAGGAAGAGTTGCAGCATTCTTGCGTTCCCATTAATCAACGGCCGATAGTAAACAGACGACCGAATCGTCACACTCGGCTTGTTCAACAGTAGGGTTGGCGAAGCTCATATAACTGCATGACTGCATTACTCACGAAGGAAGAGGAGATCGTGGAGTACATGCGGATTAAGACCAAGTTCTCCCTTAGACTCGTACGGTTGGAGTCCCGTCACAATGTGAATTTTAATTCATTTGTGGTGTGGGTGCCGACTGAACATCTGGCGACTTTAAACACAATTGCATACACAAAAAGGATACAAACTTATTGAATTATTTTTTTATAATTAGATTTTTTTTTGTAAATGTGTGTCGTTCATACTAATAAACAAATCATCTACCTATCTATGATTTCTTTAAGAAAATATTATAGAGACTGATATCTGAACAAGGCTGTATGTAGCCTGTATCTCAAAAGACTACTGGTCTTCTCAGTTGGTATGGTAAACCAATAAACCACGCAGACAAAGTTGTGGGCACCCACTAGTGGTCTGTGTTTGATTAATCCTTAAAAGCCAAAGTATACATACCTCATTTCCAAATATAAAATGATAAGTATCTGAGCGCAGATGAGTTTGACACGGTAGGAATTAAAAGGGATTTATTAAAATGTATAAAAATCTGTTTTCTGTAATCAATATATTATTCTTAGTCTTGAAAAGTGATATTATTATGAAAAAACTAGTTCTCATAAATTCATGAAGGAGGATCTTTGGCCGAAAGGTGTAGTGTTCCGGCGCTTCCGAGGTTTAGGTTACCTGACACCATTTCGCATCACACGTCGCCGTCTATGCGTGTTAGTTAGGTTACTAACATAGTTAATAATTTTGTTTACTAATAACAATGTTTTATATCTGTATATATGTTAGACTATAAGGTATTTATCTATGGGCCTATGTAGCCTGATTATAAATAAATAAATAAATATAAGTACTTAACAAACTATTATTTACTATAATTTTAAGCATTTAACTGCTAGGCTTCACTGCGGGTCTTGCGAGAAGGCTCAAGGTCACATAGTTGCTCGGTTTTTGATGTGAATCATCTTTTGGCGAACATAAAAACGATTTCTGGCGTGGCGACGCAATAGATGTCGCTAGGTGCGCTTAAACGTGATTCATGTAAGTTGATTTTTCTGAGAGATAAACTTTTTTAATGTAATATAAATTGTCATGTTTGTGTACGATAGCGCAATAAATAAATATTGTATTCTACCACATAGTACTTTTATACTGATAATTAAAGCAATTCGTGCAAAATTATTCCCTAACCATTCCAAAATATCAAAAATGCACAACGTTAATTAAGTTTTCACTTCTGCCGGCACTCCCGGAGTGCAACCCGTCGTTTTTTTTTAATATTCATCATCTTGACATAATCTTTAGATTTTTGCCAGCAGTGGAAATATTAATAGGAATTCTGATGCCTATTAATATTTCCACTGCTCTGGCAAGGGACTTCCTTATGGTTGAAATAGGGCGATAGTGCGAATTCGTGGGTTGGGTAAGATAGAAGAAGAGAAGTAAGATGCAGATACAGCTGCGCCCGTCGCATGGAGTAGTAGTTGGAGATGGTAAATTTTTGGATACCCATCTCATGAGGAGCTTGATGGCGCAAGAGGTTAGCGCGTTCGGCTGCGATCGTTGAACTTAAGCAACTTTCGCAGTGGTCGGTCATTGGATGGGTGACCAAAAATTACTATCTCGAGCTCCACCGTGCTTCGGAAGGACGTTAAGCCGTTGGTCCCGGCTGCATCTGCAGTCGTTAGGACCTACCAATCCGCACTGGGCCTGCGTGGTGGGAAGGCCTGTGCCCCAGCAGTGGGGACATTAATAGGCTGATGATGATGATGATGATCTCATGACTGATCATTTCGGAAGTTGATTAACTTACGATCGCAGATCGAATCCGCTAACAATTTGCATCTTTGAGCTCCTCTTTTTAATAATTAATAATTTCTCTAATATTTTTATAGTGCATTGGTAGGTAACCCTATTGGATGTTCGATTCTAAAATAGCTAGGCTCACAATGATAACAATCACTTAAAATTGGTATTTCTAATTTATACGAGAAACAATTTAACGACTGCGTTACACCTTTTAGCTGTTGCTGGTGGAATATATTTTTTTTATATAAATCAGCTAATTGAATCATTCGCAGGGAATTCTTTAGTACCTATATGACATCACATTTTATTTGTCTTTTGATTAATTGGTACTGGGAATGTGTATGACGACGTGAAGTATCAGTATTGTATCAGCCTATTAATGTCCCCACTGCTGGGACACAGGCCTTCCCTATGGATGGAACAGGGAGATTGTGCCATGACCATCCACCATGGCGGGTGCTAACGACTGCAGATGCAGCCGGGACCAACGGCTTAACGTCCTTTCGACGCACGGTGGAGCTCGACATAGAAGATTTTTGGTCACCCATCCAATGACCGACCGCTGCGAAAGTTGCTTAACTTCAACGTTCGCAGCCGAACGCACTAACGACCTGCGCCATTGAGCTCCTCAAGCTCCTATAGGTATACTACACATATACTTCACAATTTTAATCGAGTCTTTGATGTCGTTTGTGGGCGAAGGCCGCTTGGGCGTCCCAAGTACCGCTGGAAAGACCAAGAGTCAAGGTTCTGTTCGAGCTACGAGAAACAGTCGACTTACAAGAAGCTGAAAATGAAAGGGAGTAGTGGCATCATCTTGTATCGGAGGTCAAGATCCAGTTCAGGTCGCTGAGACAGTGGAGTAGTCAATACAGTAACAAACGGATTGGGGTTTAGTTCAGTCAGAATCCATCATGTGGGTCCAAATATAAACTTCAAAAAATATGGAGAAACAGGAACATCACAAAAGCCACGAAAACTTTAAAATTGACAAAGTTTCATACAAACTTTTATTCCCTATTTTATCCCCTTGGGTGAAGAATTGATTAAAATCATTTCTTAGCGGATGCCTACGTCATAACGTCTACCTGCATGCCAAATTTCAGCCCGATCCGTCCAGTGGTTTGGGCTGTGCGTTGATAGATCAGTATGTCGGTCACCTTTGAATTTTATATGTATATGAGTGATGCGTGCGCTTCTCCATTCCTCTATGAGTCTAGGCCTTATGCATCGCCTAATGTTAGGTTATTTAAGAAAAGAAGTTTCACTTCTTAAGTATGGTCCGTGCACTCATTTGTTTTTATGTTTAGGCAGGCATACGAGCTAGCGGTCCACCTAATGGTAAGTGGTCACTGTCGCTCAAGAGGTACCCTGCTCATGCGTTGCCGGCTCTGAAGGAAATGGTGGACCTGCCTTTTGATGGCCGTCATTATTATAAGCTAAGAGGGAAATGGGCCTCATAAGAAGGCTCGGAGACGCGACAGCGAGCGCTGAAAAGGGCTATGCTCAGAAACACCGAGCTATCGTGAATCCAAATCTGCTTGAATCAGAAATAAGGAAATCCGTAGAAGAACTCGAGTACCCCTCATAGCTAAATGAATCGCCATGCTGAAGTGACAATGGGTAGGGCACATGTCCGGTGAACCGATAGACGTTGGGGTCCTAAGAGGCATCACTGGCGATCTCTCACCTGGAAGCGCAATGTCGGTAGAACCCTTACCAGGTCGACTGACGACATCAAGCGAGTCGGGGGGACCCACTGGATGTGGAAATCTCAGGATCATT